ACACACACACACACACACACACACACACACACACACACACACACACACACACACACACACACACACACACATGGGTGGGTGCAAGGGGGCGGCCTTCGGCCACCTCCCCGCACCCACACCGTCGACAAAGGTCTGCCCCGACAGTACTATCATAGCAACAGTACAATCGTAGAAGTCGTGTGCCCCTGTGAAGAGGGGGGGGTGGTTAAAGTTACTTCGCGTGGAAAGTTTAACGTTTCTACACAGGAGGAGATGTAAAATAATACTTGTTATAATACATATATGGCAGAAACGTTAATTTCGAAACTTTTTTTGATCATAACTTTTTAACGGACAGCTACCGCCACCTAAAACATGCGGGAGGTCACTCAAGGTCATGACCTTAACAACATATGTCAAGGTTAAGATCATCGGAGCTGGGTCCCCTAAAATGAACATTTGTCTTGTATTATACAAAATTATACCTTTAAGTCTAAATATCTCAGAAACTATAAGAGACCGCCACTTAGTTGTTAAGGCAAAGTTACTCAGAATCATGACCTTGACAATATATGTCAAGGTCAAGGTCATCGGTGAGGTGTCCCCTAATCTAAATAATTACCATCAAATGTTTGAATTGTAAAATTTTGAAATTGTTATATATAACAATCAGAAATTTTATATATAGCTTAACCCTATATGCTTATTACGGATTAAAATGCACCAAACATAATTTCAACCTTAAAAATATTAGGATGAAGTATAATAAAAATTAAAAAATTTTATAAATTTAAAACATTATAACTTTATGTAAAAAAATTCATTTTCTGAAGTTAACTCGTTACAATTTTTTCAGGATTAAAGATAAATTTTTCACTACAAAATACCATAATTCCATTTTCTTGATGAATAAAATTAGGAATAAACTGTAATTTTTTAAAGTCACAGCATGAAGAGTTAACCAAAACGTATTTAACTATACACATATTGATATTAAACCATAATCAAAACATTTATGTCATGCATTAAAGACAATAAAAGATCTGGATTACATACCTGTAATAAAATTATCAGGAAGTCCAAAACTGCAACGTATATCTGAAACAAGTATGCTTATTTTATTATATCGATAAAAATGTTTGTGTTGAATCAAATACAATTCACGTAAGAGAATGACCCTGACAGCACAGAATGTTTATATAATTTGTATTCATAACACTATTTATAAAATTTCACTTTCTTTCTTTAAAATACTTACTACATAAAGATGGTGTACCTATTTTAAATAAGCTTTA